TTTTTTTTTTTTTTTTTTTTTTTTTTTTTTTTTTTTTTTTACAGGAGCATAATAAACCCAAGAACTAAACTAGAGAGGCAGTAGCCCCCTGTCTCTGATTCCCTTCCTCCTTCAGCAGTCCTACCTTGGTCCTCATCTGCTGGTACCCACTAAGGTCGACAACACTGTCCATCTTCATTTGCATGTCTACACAGGTCAGCCTGCAGGGACAAGGCAGAGTGGCTCCCCACGGGCTGCTGGAAGATGTGGGAGGAGTGGCGGTGAGCAGCACAGCCTCTGGCCTTTCTCCGCAGCAGCGCCAGGATTGCAGGCAGGCAGGCTGCTGTGTCCAGCTTTTACATGCGTTCCGGGCATTCAAGCTCAGGTGGTCATGCTTACCTGACAAGTGCTTGACTCACCGGGCCATGTCCTCAACCATCTCTTCCTTAATTTTCACTCAGGGCCCCAAGATAGATTCATTGCTTCCTCTTCAGTCCTCAGAACACCTGCACGAACAGTCCTCTGTGCAAAAAGAGAAAAGAAATAAAGCTGAGATGAAAAGAAATTGGAATATACATTTAGAAAATTGGCACAAGAAGAAATCCTTCTTGAAAATTTTTAGCATTTTTTCCTTGAGAAAAAATAGCCAAGCCATAAAGCAAAACACAAACAAACAAAAAGCTCACATATCTGACATGTAAGCTTTTTTCCTAGACAAGCTAACATTTTGCTCTGTCGGCTTTTCCTAATGCACACATTTTATTTTGCCCAAATTCTCATTATGGGAAAAATTTAAATATGCATCTCTCTGTGGCCCCGGGGTTTCCCTGGGTAGTGAAGTATGTACTTAGTGGTTTCCGAGGCGCTGGCTGTTTCATTTTGCACACCACAGCAGATCTTTACAAATGAAATTTTCCAGGCATTCAGCCTTTAAAACACGCTGTGAGTTAGATGGTGTAATATCCTCTCAGCCCGCAGAATGTCTCCTGGCCTTGACAACTGTCATCACCCATTTCCTTCTGCAGCCAGCCACAGCTGTGCCCCTGTGGCGGGACAAATGAGAAATGGCTGCACCTTTATTTTGTTTGCTAGGTACCAACAGCCTAAACCCTACATTCTATGGACAGCTGTTCATTTGTTCTCATTAAACTGGTCTCTAGCCTGTTGCTATGTTTGGAACAATATTGAACTATGTGGGAAGAATGGGGCTTGGCTTGGGGTCAGGCTTCAGTTTGGGGTCAGGCCTCCCACCATGGCTGCCACATTCTGGCCCCAGGAGCAAGATCTGCAACACAGAATTTTGCTCTTGGCCTTTTGGAGCTGAGCACCACCATCTTCTGCTCTGGGGTTGCTTACTGCCTTGACTCCACCCTTTCGGGTTGTGTGGTCCCTCCACCCAGCCCCACGTGGGCTCCAGACATGTTATGACCCTTTCTGAAGTATTTTAACTGATTGAACAAACCAGAAGACAGGTGTCACAGATCCATGCAGCTCAAAGCCAAGATCTACATGGAACTTTCTGCTCTGGCCATCTGTGTACGGTAGTAGAGGTAACATTGGAACTGAAGGCAGAACTGGAAAGAGAAGCCATGACTTTCTAAATTTTAATTTAGGCTTATTATATTTTTTACTTCCTCAGTTGTTAAGGATGTGCTCTACCACTGAGCTACATGCCCCATCCCAGAGCCCACAGTGTCACTGACTGACTGACTTGTGGTGGATAAATTTAATTGTTATGTCAGCTCTTGCCGTGGCTGTTAGATGGCCCTTGGTTTCTCCGCAGCTCTAACTTATTTCTAGTTGGAACCTTAAGATGTCTGGGAAATAGCCCAATGGCGCCTTGGCTAGGGCATTGTGATTCTACAATATGGTAACTTGGGCTGCCGCCTGTGGATGACTGTTGCTCGGAACAGACAAAACTGTAGCATTGCTGATTCCCGCTTGGTAGAATGACAGTGCACAGGTCAGGATGAGCCCTAGCAACTCGACATCCAGGTCGTAAAATGTCCTCCTCTTCCTTTAGCCATTTCCTAAAGAGAATGAAGCCTTTCAAGTATGCATTTCGTTTGTTCCTTTCCCCAGCCCGTCAGTTGAGGACTGTATCACAGACATGATTAGCAATATCCACGCATGGAATGCCGCCTGGTGATCTCTCTAGGGTTTATGGGATTCTGGTTAATGCTGTGTGAGATGTTATGGAGGGCGGTGGTGGTTCCGTGGATAAAGGTGTTTGCCGTGTAAGCCTGGGACCTTAGACCCATCCACAGAAAGGTGGAAGGTAAGAAGCAACACAACACACAATCACTGTGGCACATGTGTGCCCTTACAAACACATCACATATGCATGCTAATAGATAAAAGTATTAAAGAAGAGTTATGATGGCCTTATGGATAGGTGGATGTGCCTCTGGGCATGATGGGAGTTAACCTTTTGGCTGCTTAGGGAGTCACATTTTCACTTCTGTTTATGTATAGTGGGTATGGTGCCTTTGCTGAGATTTAACTTCACACTCTGTGGATTTTCTCAGTTTGATTGATGGACCATGTTTCTTTCTTCCAGACAAAATATAGACCCAGCACAGTGGCTGTGCACACACTCAATCTTACTCCCTCTTGTCTTGCAGGCTCTGTGGCTATCCTCCCTTCTATGACGAAAATGACTCGAAGCTGTTTGAACAGATCCTTAAGGCAGAATATGAGTTCGATTCCCCTTACTGGGATGACATCTCTGACTCTGGTAGGTGTCCCCTGGCATTTACATCCAGACAACACAATGTAGAGACCCGAGGGCCCTGGGGCTCAGGATGGTCCTCAGGCTTCTGTCTTCTACTGCTGGGGTTACTCTAACAAAATACCACAGTCTGGGGGGCTGAAACACCAACATTGATCTGTGCTCAGTTCTGAAAGCTGGAAGTCCAGGATCAAGTCCATCGGATGTCTGATGAGAGCCTGCTTTCTAATTCTCAGGGAGCTGTCTTGGTGTGTTTGCACATAAAGGGCAAGACAAGGCCTTCTGGGTCTCTTAAATAAGGACACTCCCCTCTTTCTTGAGAGCCCTGCCTGCATGTCCCTAAGCACCTCCCAACGGTCCACTTCAGATGCTCTCATTATGGAAGTTAGGATGTCAGCAAAGGAACTGTGGTGTCACCAGCGGTCAGTCTACAGCCGCTCCTGAGGAAGCTTTATGAGCTACATCTCTGGGCTTGACTTGCAGCACAGGCTTGAGGAAAAGCCAAGGGATGTGGACTCACTCATATACCTCTCCCTGATGTGGGTCCTTCAGGGGTAAAATATTCTTCGCTGGCACTTGATATAAGTATCCACTAGGTGCCGAGAGTTAGAAGGCCTGGACATGCTCTAACTCACCCAGTCCTCAGAATGACCCACTAGGTGAGCATTTATATTCTCCATCTGTGACTGACAATGGAAACTAAGGCCTGAAGGGTAAATAAAATAACCTGCCCTAGTTTATGGAATCAGTAAATAGCAGAGCTAGTATTGTAAACCCCAGTTTTTCCTGGAGCCCACTTTTTAGGACAAAACAAAAATTTGTGAAGTCATGTACCTTTGGCAAAACACTCTTGAGAATAGTCATGACAAGGGTTTCTTAGCTGAGCCCATATTTGAGCCACAGTGCACCACACTGCAACATTTCCAGAGAAGCTCATCAACCTTTCCAAAGGATAAAGAATAAAACCAAGCTTAGATGAAGTGGGAGAACCACAGAAGGAAGAAGGGAGGTGAACTCTCTGCTCAGCTGTTCACAGAGATCATTATTATTTATGTAATTTGTTCTTAATCAGAACCCCCTTGCCTTCTTCCTCAACCTTCCACATCCTGTACCCAAGAGGTCATTCTACAGGTTGCTGAAACAGACCTCACAGGGAATACTGGACTCCCAAACTTAGAAGCCAGAGGTTCCCTCCAGAAACTGAGACCTGATGTCATATCCTTCAAGGCAAAAGGGTCCAAACCAGCATAGCGCATTAGCTTTGGGTTCTGTGACCCTATGCCTCACATTCTCAGTGTCCTGTTCTGAACTGCTTTTGGGGATAAAGCCCTCTCTGCCACCCCAAGGCATATCTCATTGCTCTTTGTAGCTTCCCACTGGGTAGTAACAGCAGAAGTGTGTTTCAGATGCTCCTCTGGGAGTCCCCCACTCCTGGCACCATGACTCAATGGCTTTGCACATCCCTGGTGGGTTTTGTGGAACCAGTGATGTCACACATCCAGGGGACATCCCGAAGCATCTCTCTAAGGCATTAGTGACCTGAAGAGGCATGTGATTATGAAGATTATTTCTTTTATTCTCTCAACCAAAGGGCATCATTAGTAGCTAGCAGAAAAGAACCTAGAGCCAGAAGTCAGGGTCCCAGCCTGGCCATGCCACCTCTTCATTCATGGGACCCCTCTTGGGGTGCCAGCCATGCCTCTGCTTTTATCTGAGTCCTAGTGTCTTTTGTGCTCAAGGCACAATGGGGATGGTAAAACACTGGTCTCATATTTTCAATGGTACACATGCTTAAAACATGTCCTCATCATCACATTTCAGACCTCAGAGTGATCTGTTCCCTGTGCTTTCTTTTTGAACAGCAAAAGACTTCATTCGGAATCTGATGGAGAAAGACCCAAATAAAAGATACACCTGCGAACAGGCAGCTCGACACCCATGGTAAGGAAGACGACCTCTGTGAGGGTCGCGCCACTTCTGTGAGGGTCGTGCCACCTCCCCACCCGCCAGAGTGGACTGTTCGTTGACTCCTCTTACTCAGGAAAACACTCAAGCGCTCTGTTCATATCACCCTGGCAGGGCTTTTCCTCATCTCCCCAAACAGTGTTGGCACCTTTTGTTGCTCTCAGGGTGCAGTCTTCAGAACACGCTCGGAAGTTAAATGTATGTAAGATAGCAGGTAGCTTTTCATCTTCTAGATGGCTCTGAAGATCCGTTTTGCTAAGGGAAAACACCCAGTGAGGCATTAAGAGTGGGATGTATTCCTTGACAGTAGATGTGTGATGTGTGTGTGTGTGTGTGTGTGTGTGTGTGTGTGTCTTAATATATTCTTCCATGTGATTTCTTGTTCTCTTTAACTCTGAGGGGACTCACCAATGCTTTCTGGCATGCTGTACATTATCAGTGTTGTGTCTATGTCACGAGGTTGGAACCCAAATTCACTGACAGCTAGTATGACTTTGGGTTTATGCTTGGTTTGCTAAGTCCCAGCTTTCTCACTTTTGAGAGTAACAGCCCTGATTTGCTGACTCAGTATGAGAACTAGTGTTGTTAACGCACATACAGAGATTTATACACCCAGGCAGAGCAAGTGTCTGGTTCACTGTAGACCCATGAGCAGCCACCTTGAAACAAGTACTTGAGTACAGAAAGATCTTCAGTGGGTGAGTCAGATATCTGATACTGTAACAAAATACCTGAGGTGATGAACTTAAAAAGACAACAGGGGTTTTGGTTGGTTTTGGGTTTTGGTGGTGGTTTTTTGGCTCACAGTTGTGGCGGTTTCAGCTGGTGTTGTGGTGGGGCCTCTGGCAAGCAGTGGAGATCTATGGTGGAGCAAGAAGCCAACTCATAGTAGCTGGGAAACGAGAGAAAAAGATCCGTAGGCCATGGTTCTCTTCAAGGTCACTTTCTTGACCTAAAGATCTCTCATTAGGCCCTACATGATGAAGATTTTCTTCACCTCCCAATAACACCAAGCTAAGAACCAAACTTTTAACACCGAGACATTTGAACATATTTGGCATGTAAACTACAGCATCCAGTATAATGAACACAGAGGAAATGGGGTGTGTCTCAGTGGTAGCTCTCTTGCCTAGGATATAAAAGGCTTTGTGATTACTCCCACAGCATACATGAGCACACACACACACACACACACAGTGGGGGTGGGAGAAGTGACTTTAATTCAGGAGAAAATTCTCATATGGAGCACATAGAACACTGTTTTGTGTTTGGCCTGTCATCTTCTACAGCACTTCCTCCAGGCTGTTGGCCCTCCACAGGGGACTTAGAAGCTGTGGCATAACCCAGTTTCATAGCATTTTAATTGACCACTCCTGCCCTGCCCTTTGTTGAGTCTTTTTTGTGTTCCGGGAACTCTGCCCGTTGCTTTAAAGCATTTACTCATTTTTATTTTCCTCTACAATAACCCCGGGAGGTGGGTTTTCTGTTCAGTTCAGAAATACAGAAAGAGTAACAGAGTAAAGACACCACAGCCAGCTAAAAGGCAAAGCCAGGGCTCTCGTCAGAAAGGCTTGGCTCCACAGCAAATGCTCTTCCTTGTACGAGGAAGGCAACAGCAGAGGGCGGGGAAGATCTGGAAAGGTGGACAGTCTGTACGCCATGGGGATATTGCTGGAATAGCAGGTCCATGTATATGATGGCAACGCAGTAATTTTTTTACATCACACACGATAGGCCTTCAGAAGTGGCAGACTTTTGAGACCATCTTATAGAGAGGGAGGGAAGTGCCTGGCTTCCTCATGCTTGTCCAATAATCCAGCCCTGCTCTGTAGAAAGTGAGAAGTTGGGTTAAAGCCTATTCTTTCCATTAAAAAAAAAAGTCTTTAAAAATGTTAAGGGTTTATTGTTTTTAATTATACGTATGTGTATGGATCCGCACATGGGTATATACACGAGTGGTACCCATGGCAACCGGAAGAGGGTGTCGGATCCCTGTGGAGCTGGGTTTACAGGCAGCTGTGAACCAACTGATTTGGGTGCTGGGAACTGAAGAGCGGACCTCTGCACGAGCTCGTGTGCTCTTAGCTACTGCACCATCTCTCCAGCCCTTTAAAAACCTTTCAGTAGCTTATGTTAATTATATGTAAAATAGAGTTAATTATGGCATTTCATAATGTGTGTGTAATATACTGTGATCACATCCACTTCTACTCTCACTTGTCCCCTTCCACTCCCGCTAACCTCCTTCCTCCCCACTAGTTCCCCTTGTGCTTTCTTGTCACATGCACAGGCATGTGCGTACATGTGCCATGTGTGTATGGAGTGTGTGTGAGAGAGAGATAACACATTTACTTAGTTTGCTTACATAAGTGTGGGTGACGATTTAAGGTGACATGGGCACCTTACCAGTGGGTACACCACTGAAGAAAATGCCTTCTCCTTCGCCGGTGACCATTTACTGCTTACAGATCCTCAGGGAGGAGTGACGCCTCTGAGTTCCTTCCCTCTCCATGACAGGGACAGCTAGTCTCCCATTTTTAGGAAAACCAAGCCAAAGTCTCCTTCTGGGGACTTCGGAAGAGTAGAGTAGTCTACTTGGATCTGGTGCCAAGCCACAGGTTTGACTAGAAGAAGGTTGCCACCCAGCCCATGGGAAGGGGAGGAGCTTCAAGCAAGATGAGTAATAGTGAACGTCCAGGATCAAACCACAGCACTTGGTATTCCTTGGTATGCAAAAGTAAAAGGAGACAAGCAGGAAATTAAGCTAAAGGTGAGGGTGAGGATTAGTGGGGATGTGACCTGGCATCATCTCTTACTGCCTGGACAGGTCAACGCCTGGACCCTTTGGGCATCCTCCATAGAATCCAGATCACACATGATAATGCACATCTTGGAGGGATTTTCAAGGAATTAATTAAGATAATACACGTAACAAGCAAGACCACCTGACGAATCTGACATATATGAGCTCGTTATCCTATTGGTGTCCTAAGAAATTTAACTTTGCAATGAAAGTTATTTAAAAGAAATTTAACTTTTGGCAATGGGGTCTTGATGGGGTAATGTGATTTTTATTTATGTATTATTTGTTGCTGCTGCTGCTGCTATTTTTATTTTCTGGTACTGAGAATTGAACCTAGGGTCTCAAATGTGTTAGGAGAGTGATCTACCTTCAAAGTATATCCCTAGCCCCTTTTTCATTTTTTTTTTAATTGAGTTGTGGTATTTCTGAGTTTCCCAGGCTGGCCTTGTACTTGTAACCAAGTTGCATTATTCCAAGGCTGCTTTACCTGGTAGAGTAGATTTATATTCAGAAAGCCTCATCTGGCTATAAGACAGACGATCTGGGAAGGGAGGTTAGAGATGGTCTTGGATGTAGGGCAGGAGGGTGCGGCGCAGAGAGAAGGGGGCCCATGAGAGATGCTTGGGGGTATGAGTAGGATGTGGGCAAGGTCAGTTAGCCATGCTGGGATTTGGGGAGCAAGGGAAGGTACACATTGAAGAAGTGTGGCACCCAGAAGAGAAGTCAAACTGGGGACAAAGATTTAAAGTCACCCTTGGAATCTTGGGAGCTCTGCCATCCACGCTCTCCTAATCAGAAGGCTCGTTACAGGCTCTTCCATTTTTACCATTTACTGAAAATTCCCAGGGAGCCAGACACCAGGAAGTAATAACACATGAGGTTGACACAGGCAATCTCAAGTCCCACATTTGCCTGCCTTTGTGAGGTGCTTGTCTCCACAAGGTGGAATTGTCCAGGCAGGCAGAGGAAATGTGGGTCCAGCTGGGAGCCAGTGGGAGGGAGAGGGACGCCTGCAGTGGAGCCCAACCTGCTTTGTGTTCTGGAAGCTGTGCTCTGGACACACTCATTATCCTGGAGCTTCCTCTTATCCAAGCCACCCAGGGTGAGGAGAGCCCCTGGGAAGCACAGCAGCCTTCCTGAACCTCACAACTCCACTCCAGACAGAATAGGGCTCTTGTCAAAGCACTAGTCGGTACCATTTACCAGATTTTTCCAAGCCCACCCTCATTTGGGGTTTTGCCTTTTTCCTGCTGGTACCTTATAAGGGACATGCAAGCTGTTCACGGAGGCAAAGTTCAGGAATTGGCAAACAGCAGGATAGGAGCCCATCCCTGTTTTCCAGCAGCACTCGTGGGCTCATTTTCAGGTCAGATTGCCCTGAGTATCTCTGGCTTAAATGACAGGCAAATTAAGGCAATTGGCACAAGAGAAATTTATTTTAAGGAATTGAGACAATTGCTTGTATAATTGTAGAGTCAAGGAACTCCAAAATGTGTGAAAAGACCCAAGGAACAATGAATGTAGCAACCAGAATCTTAATAGAGTCCCTTCCATTTCCCAAAAGCCTTCAACTGATGGAATAAGCCTACCCGTGTGCTGTGCTTAGCTCAAAGTCTAATATTCAAGAAAGACTTTCACCAGAACGTAGAAACTAACACATGTTCAAATATCGGGGCTCCATGTCCTAGTCAAGTTGACATATAAAATTAACCATCATACCTCTGAATGTTGACTGAGGCTCCACCCCTCTGCAAGACCTCAGGCACACCAGCTCTGCTTGGCCATGGGAACCAGAAAGCAGTCCAACAGACTGTGGTTGGGAGATACACCACGTATCACCAAACTCATTTTGACCAAGTGTCAGAACCAGGGAGAATAAAACATGTCTGAAATAGACACACCACCACCGCCCCCACCGCCGCCACCATGAAATTCGGTCGCTGGCATGGCTTTATCTGCCTGTGACCCCAGGGCTGCTGAGGTGAAGACAGGAGCAGCCCCAGAGCTCACTGACAGCCAGTCTAGTTGAGTTGGTAAGGTACAGGCCTAATGACAGACTGTGTCTCAAGAAGGTGAAGAGTGATGAAAGAAGACAGCCTTGTTGGCTTTTGGCTTCCATATACATGCACACACGTGAATGTGCGCGAAGTGATTGTTCTCTCTGTGGACTTAGCTTGTCTGATACCAATGAATGCTGTGCATAAACGGGGTTTAACTGCATATAAATATCAGGCCCTGATTTGATGCTGAATTTGAGAAATGCTGGCCTTGAGAGATTATAAAATAAAAGCAATCATGGAAAAGCACTAGATTATAAGTTAGAGGAGAGTCAAAAGTGAAATATCAGGAACAGGTAAGAAACAAAGGCACATTCTAACATAAAACGAGAAATACACTCGCAGTCATTAAATCCTATGGTTTGTATTAGGACTCGCAGTTATGAAGAGGCACTTTCCTCTTGCCCAACCTAGAAAAGAGAAGCCCCAATAAGCTCCTAATGACTAGCCGAAGAATCCTGCAGCGCTGAGAGAATGTTCCCTCGTATAGTCACAGCTGTTTAGTTAGGAGATTGACTAGCACACTTGGACTTGAGGCACTTCGAAGACTGCCTGACAGGACTGCTGAGCCACCTGCTGCCAGCTAGACTCTGACCCACATGCCCCACAGCTGAAGACCATGGGAAGTGAGCAGGAAACATCCCTAAAATAACTCACAGTTAGCATTGTCCTTACGTCTTTGCCTGTGATAACCCACCCAGAAGGCACAGGAAGTGGTCCTCAGGCAGCAGACCCAGAGCCTCAAGGCGTTGGAGCCCTGGCTATTGACAAGCATTTGGAAGTCCCTGGGTCACCCCCGATCCCCCACCACCCCACGCTGTTCCGGTTTGGACCCAACTCTGGCCTGCAGCAGTACTCAGCACACTTCCTATCATTTTGGCCCGGTTATTTCCAAGAAAGAGATGCCCACTGTTCATTGGCATTAACATCATTTTCTGAGAACAGAGCTGTTGAAAATGATACAGGATGTTGCTGAGGGAAATAGCTCAGCTCATAAAGTGCTTGTTGCCCAAGCCAGGCATCGTCATATATGCTTGAAATGTCACTGCTGCAAAGACAGAGACAGGAAGATCTCTGGGGCTTGGTGGCTGGCTAGGGGAGTCTAATTGATAAGCCCCAGATCCCAGTAAAAGACCTTGTCTTATAACAAAGGGGGGTTCTTAAGGAATGACACTCAATGTTAGCCTCTAGCCCCTACATGCACGTTCAAATGCACACATAAACACACACACATACACGTGGTACGTGTGTCCACAGATGCATCCTAGGTAGCACTGCTATGAGCTCTAAAAGAAAGCAAGCTTCATTAAGATGTCTCCAGTTCCCAGAACCTGCTCGCTCTGTTTCCGTTTGCACATTCACATATGCTGTTTCCATTTTGCTGATGTGTGCCTAGGGAAGGGAGGCAACTGGGAGCTGCTCAAAGTGGAAACTTGGTTCACTTCAGTTCATCTCTGAGCATCCTTTGAGCCCTTCTGTGCAGAGAGGATGTAATTGGGGCTGCGGGAGGAGGTTGTTTTGAGCTGGGATTTCAGTCTGGCACAGACTTGGTCTAGTTCCTAGACCACGGGCAGTTCTCTAAGGAAAGCAAGCCTGGGCAGGATGAGCCTGGGTCTCAGCAAGCACAGAGCTTAGCTTGTTCCTTTGGAGATGGCCCTGAAGATGGCACCCGGCAGTAGTGGGCCTGTTTTAAGTCCAGGGCAGTCCAGGCCAGAGGAAAAGTATTCTCCTATAGCAGATATTGTGTGGCCAGTAAGGTGGTACAGGACTCGGAAGCCTGCCTTGGAACTTTTTTAGGATTCAATAACTGCTTTCATAGACAGCAAAGACCAACCTAGATTGAATGGCTTAGGAAGAAAAATGGAAGGATCAAATTCCAGGCAAGGCTTCGAGCCAAAGAAGTTTTCCCTGACCTGGAGGAAAAATCAGTTCACTAGATATAGAAGACAGTGTTGGTGTGAGAGAGGATTATGTGCGAAGGATGGTCTGTGCTGTGTGTGACCTTAGGGAATTCCTAAAGGAGACTGTAAGCAGAGTGAGATGCAAGATGGGAAAGGAAAGGGTGGGAGAGTGGGAGAGATGGCTTGGAAATAAGCAAGAGCTCCAATAAAGACCACCTGTGGACCACAAATACAGTGTGGACATGCTCCTGGAAGTCAGGAACTTTCTAGAATGTGGGCCAAGCTGATCTAAAGCTGCCATGGATTCTAATGTTGCAGGGATTGGACTCAAAAGTGGGAAAACATGAGAGACAGGCAGAGAGGGGACCAGTAGAGCCTTGGCAGGTCTTGAGAAGGGAATAGAAGGCAGAAGGTACTGTAGAACTTGGGGCTCTTAGCATGTGTTGGATTAAGGACAATTTATCTGGGGAATTAAACATCTAGAAGGGCAGCAGCCAGCCACCCCCCATCAGCCTCAACTTCCCTGGGGGTGAAGCTTCCCCAGAAAGTAGCATGGGACTCTGTGGCCAAGCCATAAGAAGCTTTCTTGAAAAAGTCTCTTGGCCTGTGTTTCAGGATTGCTGGTGACACAGCCCTCAACAAAAACATTCACGAGTCCGTCAGCGCCCAGATCCGGAAGAATTTTGCAAAGAGCAAATGGAGAGTAAGTCCTGAGTGTGCCTATTTCATGTTTGCCAAATTCCCAGGGAATTTAAACCACTCTGGGGAAATTGATTCTAAGGGACCCATGGGGGTTTGGATAGAAATACCCAGGGGTCTTGCTAATTTTAATTCATTCTTCTAAACATTTTTTTGAAATTACTTTTTACAAGAGGGGGTGTTGCCTGCATGTGTGTCTATGTACACACAGTTGTGAGCTACCATGCAGGTCCTGGGAATAGAACCCAGGGCCTCTGGCAGAGCAGCCAGCATTTCTAACCACTGAGCCAATTCTCCAGCACCATTTCAGTGATTCTTGATTAAGACACGAATGGAATGTCACATGTAAGAGGGCTAAAGCGTTTCCCATCTGTGGTTCAAAGAGGGCAACTGTGCCGGATCTCACTTGTTTGCTATTCCTTAAACAGCACAGCCTTCCTGTCTCCCTTACTTTGCTGAGAATAATCAGCAAATTATTGAATTTCACCTTGAATAATCACCTTTTATTAAAGTGATGAAAAGGAAGAAAGAAATATCCCAGACCTGAGTTGAGCTCTTCAATTAAACCATTGCAATTTCATGATCATTTATTATTGCCTAAACTCTATATTCTAATCAGCATCAGTAATTAAAAGCTTGCTGTCTTGCTGTGAGGGCCAACAGAAACAAAATTAGTTCTGTTAAGCCAAGCACAGCAGTACATGCCTTTAAAATCAGCACTTGCTCGGGAGGGAAAGGCTCATCTCTGTGAGTTTGACCAGTCTGGCCTACATAGTAAGTTCAGTGAGACTCTGGTTCAAAAAGAAAAAAATTAAAATTGCATTAACCTACTTTATTTTCAAAGGTAAGGCCATTACTTAGGGCAATAGCATATATATATATATATATATTTATATATATATTTATATTTATATTTATATTTATATTTATATTTATATTTATATTTATTTATATTTATATTTATATATAATAGAGCCAGTCCTGGTGGTGTAGGCCTGTAATTCCAGGTACACAAGAGGCTGAGGCAGGAGAATTACAAATTCAAGCCTAGCCTGGGCAGCTTAATAAAAGCCTCCCATAATTAAAAAGTAAAGAGAGAGTTGGTAGAGTATTTGCTTAGCATATGTACGAACGCAAGTGAATTTTTAACCTCCAGAATGTATTTTGATGGGGAAGAGATTTAAATAAATCTGCGCTTTTGAAAAGAATGACAGAAATTTTCTTTCTAAAGTGTCCTGGGAGTATCTGAGAAAACTTGCAGTGCTCACAGTTTCTGGATAAGCGGAAGGAGAAAAATCTTGCAGTGCTTTCCAACTAGCTGAACTAACTGGCTCTCTTGCTCCTCTCCACCTCTTTGTCCTTCTCCCTCTGTTTCAGCAAGCGTTTAATGCCACGGCCGTCGTGAGGCATATGCGGAGACTACAGCTTGGCAGCAGCCTGGACAGTTCAAATGCAAGTGTCTCAAGCAACCTCAGTTTGGCCAGCCAAAAAGATTGTGCGTATGTAGCAAAACCAGAATTCTTCAGCGGGCATTTGAGATGAGTCCGGGTTGGGCAGGAGAGAGCTGAGCACCAACGGTTTGCCATGCCATGGTCTAATGAATCTAACCCATGACTACCTTAGAACATCATTCAACATTTAACACCCATGCTAGGTATAATCATTTCCATTTATAGATAAGAAATCCATGGCACAAGTGTCACACAAGCAAAGATAAGGCCAGGGCATTGCTTGGTCTGTCTCCTTCCTTTGACTTGCCTCTGGACTGTATGGTATGGACCAGAAGGGATGGGAGAGTTCTCATGGCCTGGTTGCACTGATTTCTCAAGTCTGAGTTTTGTTATTTTTTTGAGGGTGACGAGTACTTGAACTTACTTATATGCACCAAACTGGCTTTGCAATAAAAGCGGCAGTGATGGTATTTGATTGGCCTTCATCCTTACAACAAGGTGACATTCTTAAAGTCACGCTTACTCTTGTCATTCTCTCCCACTCCCCATCTTTATATGAATATTAATCTCCTACTAAACCATGCTGATGATTCTTTTCTACTTCCAAACCATCACCTTGAAGCTTCCCACCAGCCCCACCCCCAACCCAACCATTGGGCAACATGCTTCTTCCTATTTGGCTTAGTGAAAGGATTTCCTTCTTTGCGAAAGAGCTACCCCATGGTTGAGTATAGTAGCACACACCTGTAATCCCAGCACTTAGAAGGTGAAGGAATCCAGGTTCAAGAACAGCCAGGGCTATCCAGTAAAACCATCTCAAAATGCAAGCTTAGCTTGGTAGTAGAGCATTTGCCTCATATGAAACAAAGTTAAGGCTCCGGCATTCTTCTCCCCAAAAGGAGTCATCATAATCTTGTTATCCATTCTTAACTCATATGCAGTTCTCAGATTTTCTCAAGACAGCTCCATGAGCTTCTCTGACACAGTTGCACACCTCTAGATCACTTACATTTAAAAGCAAAGCCCCTTCTAACCACCCTTGACCGAAAGAAACACCATTTCTTTAAAGATTCACACAATGGCATCCACAGTGGCTTTTATTTCAATAAGTTATGGTTCTTCCTATGTCCAAGTGTACAAAGTGGCTACGAATGTATACTCTAAAGTTGTACAATAGCTGATGTATACAGTACCTTTGTGAGTCAGTTTTCTGTTACTGTGACAGAATACCTGAGGAAACACATCTACAGGAGAAAGGTGTTATTTTGGCTCACAGTTTCATTGTTGCTCTCCATGGTTCCCTTGTGGCAGCCAGGAAAGGGGAGGGCAGAGGATAAGGACAATGGTATGTCCTGCAGTGACCTTTTTCCTCCAGCTACATCCCACATCCTAATAGTCAATTCAACTTTGACTTTATCAGTGGAGTCATCCTCTGATGAATAGAGAGAGTTCATGATCTACTCACCACATAGCACTCCCACAGGGCCAAAATGTCTCACATGAGCCTTTGGGGAGATTTTTGGGCATCATGAACATCCTCATTTCAGGGACTCGTGATACAAAATGCTTCCTGGAATATAAATTTGGACCTGAAAAAGTTACAGACTTTATTGTTGTTGTTAGTATTATTATTATTTTCTAAAAATGCCTACTTCGTGGAGCTGTTATAAGAAATGATCTGTTCATCTGAGTTGGTAAAGAGCTTTGTTGTTCACTGACCCTCAGAACCATGTAAAACAGACAGGTGTGACCTGTGTGCTCCTAATCCCAGCACGAGCAGGTAGAGACAGGCAGATCCCTAGGGCTTGCTGGCCAGCCAACCTAACCAACTCAGTAAACTGTCTCAAAAAACACACAAACAGTATTCCATTGTGTAAATGTATTACAATTTCTTTATCCATTCTTCAGTTGAGGGACTAGGTTGTTTCCAGATTCTGGCTATTAGGAATAAAGCTGCTATGAACATAGTTGAGCAAATGTCCTTGTTGTATGGCGGAACATCTTTTGGGTATATGCCCAAGAGTGGTACAGCTGGGTCTTGAGGTAGGGCTATTCCCAATTTTATGAGAAAGTATCAGATTTATTTCCAAAACAGTTGTACAAGTTTGTACTCCCACCAGCAATGGAGGAGGGTTCCTCTTTCTCCACATCCTCTCCAGCATGTGTTGTCCCTTGAGTTTTGATCTTAGCCATTCTGATAGGTATGAGGTGAAAATCATTTGATTTTCATTTCCCTGATGACTAAGGATGTTGAGCATTTCAAGTATTTCTCTACCATTCGATATTTCTCTATTGAGAAGCATAATATACACTCCCTTATGAGCAGGTATTATCCATATAATACAGGAAAACCACAGTACAATCCATAGACCTAAAGAAGCTAAATAACAAGGAGGACCCTAGGGAGGATAATTCCCATTCACAAAGGTAAACAGATCAGACACCAGAAACAGCTGAAGAGAGGGAACAGGATGGGAGCCTACCATAGATGCCCTATGAAAGACTCCACCCAGCAGGGGATCAGCCAAACTTGGCTGTGAGCAAGACACTCACACTTTGAGCAGATCCCTGGGGAGGGGAGAAGGATGTGGAAAGGATAGGAGCTCCACAAGGAGACCAACAAAGATAACAAATCTGGGACCAGGGTAGCCTTCAGAGACTGATGCACCAACCAAGGACAATGCATGGAGAGGGCCTAGGCCCCATATTCAGATGTAGCCCATAGTCAGCTCAGCTTCCATGTGGTTACCCTAGTAAGGGGAGCAGGGCCTGTCTCTGACATGGACTCTGTTGCCTGCTTTTTGATCACTTTTCCCTGGCAGGACAGCTTTGCCATGCCACAGAGGAAGAAGATACAGGCAGTCCTATTGAGACTTGGTAGGCTGGGGTCGTCAGATAATAGGGGAGGAGGGTTTCCCCTTTCTGTGGACTAGGGGAGGGGAAATAGGAGGAAGAGGGAATGAGGATGGGGCCAAGAAGAGACAAGGGAGGAGGCTACAATCAGCATATGAAGTGAATAAATTATGAAGAATTAAAACGCAAACAGTAAAAACAAGGTGTAGCACAGCTAAAGATACCTATCTGATGTTAACCTCTGGCCTTCACATACATGTCCACAAGTTTCCTGTACACATGCAAACACGACACATATATACACAAATTAAAATAATGAAAAGAATAAAGACTATTCTAGTAATGATGCTATATAATCCACACCCATCCCAGTGCCTAAAATATACAGAGTAGTATACTACCCTAGCGTGTAATGAAGAGTATATAGAAAGTGCTCAATAAATGGGGCCTTATATATCCTGTGTCATGATGGACATACTACGTCATTTTCAAAGACAGAGGTGTCCAAGGTGATAAAAGTTCAGGGTCTGGCAGTATATCTCACAAAAGAGGGTAGAGGGCCTTCCTAGCAATTAGAAACAGGTTTCATCCCGACAGTGCAGCACATTTGACCCTCTCTCTGGGAATGGAGGGGTGACTTTAATCCTGACTCCCTCCCCTTGTCTACTGTCCCTGGCAGGTCTGGCACCTTCCACGCACTGTAGTTTCCTTTCTTCTTCGTCGGGGGTCGCAGGAGTCGGAGCTGAGAGGAGACCCAGGCCCACCACTGTGACAACAGGGCACACTGGAAGCAAGTGACCCGGCTCTGGAGGCGGGACCCAGGGGGCAGGGCCGGAAGGAGAAGCCCTTGGCCAGAGGAGCTCCATCAGCGGAGACCCCACCCACCCTGCATGGTGCGCCTGCGTAGGACTGGAAGACAGAAGTTTTTTTATGGCCATATTTTATACCGCAATTCTGATGTGTTCATTTCTCACAAACTGTACTGACTCAAGGGGAGCTGACGTCACAGGATCTGGTGCTGTATATACGAATCTTGCAAAGCTCTAACTGAATGAACCTTCTCGCTCCCCTTTCCCAACTCCACCACTAACGCTCTCTCAGTGTAGGCAGCCATCTAGGGTGTATTTTTTCATGAAAAAAAAAAACAACAAAAAAACAAAAAAAGGTTTCAACTGGATTATTTAAACATTGGTAAATGTTGTGCATTAGGATTGTTTTTTTTTTTTCTTTTTGAGATGTGTCGTCTTTTTTATCTCTATCAGTTAGTTACATGACTTCTATCATTCACTCTTTAATAGTGGTTTAAATCTTTAAGAGATATTTTTTCCCTCCAAGAGGAGTTAAAAGGTTTTTTTTTGTTTTGTTTTGTTTTTTAATTCTAAGAGGAACAAGAATCTGTCTCCATGGTTAAGAGTGCACTTTACCTGTGCTCCTTGGCCCTCTGTCCTTTCCTCCAGAGGTCACCCCAGTAGCTGGGCCAGGCTGGCTTCTTTGCAGGTGGCTTTGGCAGGGAACCTGCAGAAAACCTTACCAGCAGCTTCCTCCTGAGAACTGCTAACCAATCACAGAAGAAATAAGCTTCTTACCTCTTCCCTAGACTCCAGGCTCCAAATTCCAGATGAACTGTGCTCTGGGAACACGGTCCCCACAGTGCCAATATTTAGGAGCCTCCCTTGCAGAAGGGACAAGCCACCATCTTGTTTTTAAAATGAACCACACACAACCCTCATTTCTCATGGGGGGTAATGGATGAAACTCTGTTCTCAGCTATGCACTTTTAAAACGAATCTTTCTTTATCTGTTTTAATTTTTAGAATTCATTTCTAACCCTACCCTTCAAATGGCCTATAACACATACTTTTCACCCTCCACAGTTTTACCCTGTTCTCTCATGAACATTACCCACCCAAGAGAGGGGACAGAAATGGCCTTGAAGAAGACACTTATTTTAGCTGAAAAGGAAACACACTACATGAGTAGAATACTGCCCACCTCAGAGATGGCTGACTCAGCAAGGTCCAGCTGGAGCACAAGCCTTCCCTTACATCAAAGAATCTAAAATAAAAGTACATGTGATGGTCAGGCCATTGTGTGCCCTCGTTTAACAGGGACTGAAGGATTTCCCAGTATGTGGAACTTGAAGGCTGAAATCAGGACTGTTCTGTGAAAACCAGTCCATGTCACTGAGCTGCACAGTGGCTACACACACAGGAAGAACAGGCACAGAGCATGGTTCAGGGTGAACATTCCCCAAGGAGGCTCTCAGAGACCAAAGCAAGTGGCTCAAATGCCAGTTTTGCCAACGTTCCCTTTAGCTCTCATGTCTATTTAACACCTTAGCCTCATCTGCAGTTAGCTGCAGTCTGCCGAGATGGGCTGCGTTAGGTCTCCCTATGGCTCAGGAACTGTCCTCATGCCCCTATGTAGTTGCCACCATAGAAAGTCCTACTGGACAAGTGAGTCATCCGTGTCAGCCCTACACCTTTGCCCCCAGCTCTCTGCAAGGCACACACACACACACACACACACACACACAATGTTGCTAGGCAGGCAGCTCCAGTTCCTCAAAGGACACCTGCAAGATATAGACGAGCAGTTTCACAGTCAGACATCTGGTCCACCTGTTCCTACTTGTGCCATGGACCCCAAATGCTTAGTGAGAATCCTGCCACACCAGGCCAAAGGGTAGCAGTTGAAGCTGTCATTTCAAAAATCTATATCCTTCCAGGAAGGGTTTCTAAAATGACAGCAGACCCAGTTAGAAAGCAAATGCCACTGAATATGGAGACTCACGCACCTGCCCCACCCTTCAGAAAGGCAATGATATAAATATTACAAAGAGTATTTAAGAAGACCCAGAAGTGTCTCTAAAGTTTATAGGATGTTTCCTACCAACAAGCATCATGGAAATGTTCAAGTTCGTATTAATCTAAGAAAAAACTACAGGTGTGCTGGGTGGGCTGTGATTACAACACTGGAGAGCCTGAGGCAGAGGGGTCTCAATTTCTATGCATCCTGATATCATTAGCAAGTCCTTCTCTCAAGACAGGAGGGAGAAGGATGGAGGCCGACTGGTTGGTTGCCGCTTTTACCTGAATTTGACACCTTTCATGTGTTAGGCCTTTATGCTGTATGGTACACCTAAGTATTTGCATTTACAAAGCAACATTCTTATTAATGATGAGAGTATTTCATAGAGATGATATATGGGTGCGTGGACTACATATATATATATATATATATATATATATATATATATATATATATATATACATATTTATGTATATGAATGACAAATAAATAGAGAACAGGTGAAAATAAGCCCTGGTACAGGTGTCTATCTTGCAACCAACCATGCTTGGTTCAACTGTGACACATCAGGTCTCCATGAACTAGTGTAAGGAGCTGATGGCTAGTGCCAGCCCAGTAGTAGACAAGGTTGAACATGCCACCAGGAAGCCCACACATGATGTCACTAACTTAGATTATTTCCTATTCTTTTAAGACAGGTGAAAATAAGTACCACAGGAAAGAGTCTTCCATTCTGAGAAAGTCAGCATGGAAGAAAGATGAAGTTTTACTTCCAGTTGATACTATGATACAGTAATATGTGAGAATGTAGAATGGACTTAGTCTTCAGACCTGAAAACGGGGTGGCGAAGCCTTGGCTCCCTCACTCTCGTCAGATTCCGCTGACATAGGCTGAGGACTTCATGCATGTACCAGGATGCCTGGCAGCATCCTGTGGCCACAGAAGTTCCCTCTCAGAATGCTTCTCTGAGAGAAAGCTCGCAACACCACCTCCATTACATAACCTCTTCACATTTGCTAAGCAAGTGGATATTTCTTTTCATTTAGTTAGGAAAATTTGAACTATTTCAGAATAGTTTACCCTCTGCTTTCTGCCTGTCTCTCCCTTTCCCTGGCCTTTACCTATACTTGAGGCGAAAAGGGCAGCTAATACTCTTCTAAAACCAATAGTGAGTGATAGTTCTTGCTCAGCACCAACAAGACCAATTGCTTGTCATTCTTAACCAAGGGGGTCTCCAGAGTTTGGAGGCTGGAGAGATAGGCTGAAGACACATGTGGGGGCTGCAATGATTGAGACAGTGTTGCAGGCACCCTTTGTAACAAAGCCTGGCTGGTTTTAGCCCTCCCTTATCTCTCTAACCCCAAAGGGACTCTCATTCCAAAAAGATCAGCTGGCATTCAGTTCTCTGTGTGGGAAAAAAAAAAGTGCTGTGGAGAAGGCATTTAAACAACCCCAAAGGTATGGATTCCTGCCCTTTATCTTGATTCTGGGCCGCTTTTAAAAGTAACACTGAAGTTTCCAGCCATACCACTTTGACTGTGCCCAAAGTCTAAGATGCTTCCTTAAGAATATAGCTGCCTCCATTCACACACCAACTCATAGTTTTGAGACACTTCCACTCTTCAGAAAATCTGACTGTGGTATTTGGGAACACAGTAATTGGCTCAGTGAATTCCAGACTCTGTTTACCTACTTAAGATTTTCGTTTCTACACCTCAATGCCCAGAATGCACTGGATAGCTGGTAGATGACAAAGAGAACTGGCCTTTACACCACAGGCCAATAGCATGTGAACACAGAAGAAAGAACCAGCTGGTCCCCTCTTGAGAAGTTTGACCCCTCCTATAGGAGGCAAAACTTGACAGGGTCAGAGCATTTGGGTTTAATGTTTTATGAGCATTAAACAGCAGGGAAAGCCCAAACAGTGAAATGACTGGGGATTGTAGGGCTGTGGGTATCATGACCCTTTGGCCTACACAGAATTGTAGCCAGAACTGACTTTCTATACTGGGGAAGCCATCCCAGTGCCACCACGCCAGGCAGGCAGGAGACCGGGGGCCAGCACCTTTCCCTTGCAAGATTTGCCCGGAGTGCTGTGCTGGGTTTTCCTGAGCCATGAGGAATGAAGGTGAGGGCTGGTGAAGGACAGCGCCTTTCATTTTTCATAATCAGAAATCAAGTACGATCACTTCCAGCAAAGTGAGATATGGGCTCCCCTTGCATGTCCAGATCAGTGCTAGGTCCCCAGCCCTTCTCATACTCCGACAGTTTGCCTTTTCCTGAAACACATTCCAGACCAAACACTGTTCAGTTGGTTTCCAAAATTAAACACCAATGTATATATCTGTATGTATTCCACTGCTCTTTAGGGGTTTCCTGGTCCTAGGGTGGGTCGGCAAGCAGAAAAGATATTTCAATCCTTCGATTTTCTGAATTGAAAGTTTTGAGGTGGATTTTTTGCTTTGGTTGGTTGGTTGGTTGAGGGTTTTGTTTGTTTGTTTGTTTTTGTTAAGTTGGGGAAGCAAAACTTTGAAAGGCAAACTTCCTGGTGCCTGCACAGAAATTTGTACAGAGGTGAGTAGTTTGAAAACGTCAACTCTAGGAGGCAGGCAGGTGTGAAGAAGAAACATAAAAGGAAGATAAAAGGCCACACCCCATCTACCAGGTCCCCCCTTGGCGGTCTCGGTGCATGAAGGTCTGTCTACAGCTCGTGTGTACACAGGAGCCCAGCCCCACTGTAAAGTTGTCTCTGCATGCCAACCACAGCCTGGCCTGCCTCCTGCCAGCTACCGAAGTCTTCATAACCGCGGGGAGGACTTAGCCCTGCACAGACTTCCCTGTCATCTCCAGCGGGAACAGCTCAGCTTGTGGCTTTAGGGGTTTCACTTTTGCAGACCCAAAGGCTGTGCATTTGGAAGCCAAATATTCCGTTCAGCATGTGGCTGCTGTGTGGTTTTGTGAACAAAGCAAACTGTGGAATGGCTTCTCTGTGTCTGTATTGTTCTAAGCCAAAGGGACAAATTATTGCATTGACCCCCTAGTACTAACGCTGTTTCTGCATTCTTCATATCCATTTTTAACCTTTTTATTTGTTTTGTCTCTGGGGAATTTGTCATATAATTATTATGTCTTCTGATGATTTACCAAACTATGTTGCTTACAGGTGATTTTATTTTCCTTATGGATGAGAAAAATAGAAAATGAGACGTATGTTTGAGGCTTTAGTCAAAGACACTGCTCAAAAGTCTCAAACACTAGTTAACTTGCTTCTCAATAGGAAAAATCTTAGTTTGGACAGACAAGGATTCTGAGGTCCTCCTGGAAAACCCTCCACTTTGGAGGTCAAAGCCCTGGGGCAGAGCTGGTAGTCAGGCTACACAAGAGAAGAAGAAGGGACCAGAACATCATCTCAGATGTTTGTCCCACACTACAGAAGCTGCCGTTCTCCTGGCAAGGCACTTGGCCATTTCAGGGCAACATAAGACTGTCTAGTGTCAAAGCAGCGTCTTCCGTTTGAAAAACGGGGCTGCATGCTTCAGAGAACATTTATGTTAATCCCATGTTCAGGGGAGAAGATAACAAAGGTACATTCTGCCCAGAACATCCATTAGAACAATGTCTAAATTGGCTTCTGTAGCTATCTATACATGATGTAATTGGCCTCCATTCAGCTCTCTCCCGGCAGTGGGCATGTTTTCACAATGGTTTCTATCCTCAAACCTAGGATTGGCCCCACTCTCGATTATGAGGCTTGTAATTGGTTTAATTTTTTTTCTTTCATTAAAACATGCTTGCCAAAAAAAAAAAAAAAAAAAAAAGCAAAAGAAGGAAACTTTGCATTTATCCCATGCATGTAATAAACTCTGCAAGAAGTTTAAGCAACCCCCCCCCATAGGTTTGCGGCACTACAAAATTGTTCATGGGTCTATGTAGCAAATGATTCTCTGCCTTGACAATCATGTATACATATCGATTTCTATCATAATGATAATGAGATTGATGACTTCTTGTTTTCCTCCAATAAAGAGAATTAATCACCTTTAGATGTTGGTGCCGTTGCCTCTATCATGAATAAGATATTGCATTTCAACATCTTTCTCCCTCTCTGTCTTCCTCTTCCTGTCCCCTCCCCCTCCCTCTATCTCTTTCTCTCAAGCTTATTTTTTTTATTTATCGGTTGATTGATTGATTGATTGGCAGTGGTGTGGTTGGAATTTAGGCTCTTGCACACATTAAGCAAACCCTGTGCCTCTAAGCCCCTGACGGTTAGATTTAAGGGAAAGGAGTCTGGGTTGAAAGCCTGAACGCTTGTGAGATCACCCAGATATTCCTCATCACCTGCCCAACAAGCAGTTGGTCTGAAGTGGTCATGATGAGGAGGGGCAGATTGGCAGGTCCAACGTTAGCCAGACACGAAAGCTTCCCTCTTTTTCTTGCCACCGTAGAAGCTGGCTGGAGAGGCGCCCAGGAACTGAGGTCAAAGCAATTAGGTAACCATAAAATGTCTGGCAGAAAAGTCAACATTGATTTCCAGAAAGTCTTTCTGAGAGAGTGGTGTTCCAGCCTCAGGCTTGAGCAATCTGCCCACATTCTTCTACATCCTCAGCCCAGCTTGACGTTACCAATGCTCGAAGGAAGATTCTTGTCCCAACAAAAGGCCAGCCAGTTGTTGTTTGATTGGGGTAGGAGTGTCTTTGTTTTTTATGGAAGGAAGGGTTTGGGGAGTAAAATTATTTCATGTCCATCGTATATAATGTGGCAATCAGATCTGACATTAGGCAATTCAAATCAAAGTCCGCAGTTCTCAATCTGTGGGTCGCAACCCCTTTGGGGGTCAAATAACCCTTCCAGAGGAGTCACATATCAAATATTCTGAATTTCAGATATATTGCAATTCATAACAGTAGCTAAATTATAGTTATGAAGTAGCAATGAAAATGATTCTATGGTTGGGGTCGTAGAGCATGGGGAACTATATTAAAGAGTCACAGCATTAGGAAGGTTGAAAACCACTGCTGTAACCCAAATAGTAAGCAGTTTTGTAGAAAAGGAAAACAAAATGAATCGAGTGGATGTTACAACAATATAGAATTGTGGGGCTGGAGAGATGGCTCAGAGGTTAAGAGCACTGGCTGCTCTCACAGAGGACCCCAGCACCCACACAGTAGTAAAAGGCCATCTCTTGTTCTACTTCCAGGGAATCTGACACCCTTGTCTGGCCTCTTCAAGCACCAGGCATGCACATAGTACACAAACATACATATTGGCAAGACACCGTATGCATGAAATAAATCATTAATTAAAAAAAATGCAGAATGAAAATGGCCCTATACAGCCAGCGCTGCACGAAGACACCACGAGCCTTAATGAGAATAAGGCTCTGAGCCAACAAGACAGAGA